GGGACAGGGATGGTGATACAGAGAAACAGAAACAGGAAGGGAGTGAGAGGGGAAAGGCTAGGACAAGGACCAACTCTTCACAGGCATCAAGTGGGGTACCTCATCCTGCCCATAGCTGGGTGGGTTCCAGCAATAGAGAGAGGTCTAGGCCTTTTCTAGTTTGCTTGGCTTAGTCCTGGACTTCCTATGGAGGGATCTAGGAGACCCCAAGTTTATGGCCTCCGGATGGGGTAGGAGTTGTAGGGGTCAGATTGGCCTTTCTTTGAACAAACCCTCCAGGGAGCCTGCAAGGAACAGCCTTAGGTGAGTGCTAGGGGTAGGAGTCTGGACACTGCCCAGTGCTACCCATGATGAACCCATTTTCTTGGTTGCAAACCTAGAGGAGGAGAAAGGGAAAGTACCACTTCTGGGTGGCTGCTATGAGGCGAGCCCTACTTGGAGATTTATGCCCCATGTCACAAGAGGCTATCAAGGGCTCTTCCAAGTTTGACACTCAGCAAAGTGACCATATCTGTATCCCTAACCAATGTGAGCTGAGCCCTCACCAGGTGTCCACCCTGGCTGAGGCTCCACACACATCATCTCACCTAACTTTTACTCAGTCCTTGGCATGGGTCTGTCATCAGCTCCTTTCACAGGTAAGGACTCAGGTCAGAGAGGTGGTGTGGTCATCTGCTCAGGGTCATATAATTAGCATGTGACACAGCCAAGGCTTGCTTCCAGGCCTTAGCAGGCCCTTCTAATGTTGGGTCCAGGAAGGTTATGGGGGCACAGAGGCAAGCTTATCTGGACCCTGCACTGATCCACCCAATGTGGTACACAAGAGCAGTTCCATTCTGCAGAGTGGCCCTAGCTGAGCTTGGCCTGGCCTACTTGGACCCCACGAAAACCTGTTCTCCCTGGGGTCCCTGGTCCCAGGATCTGTCTCTGGAAGAAAGCCCACCTGCATCCCTCCTCTGCCCTGGCCACAGTGTGGCCAGCATAATCCTGAGGGCCAGGAAAGTGCTTCCTGGTGTCTAACCTAACTTAATCTTGCTCCTGCAACACAGCCCACTCTAAAGCAGTGGTTCTCACTAAGGGGTGAATTTTGGCCCCAGGGGACATTTGGCAGTGTCTGGAGACATTCTTATCTGTCACAACTTGAGGGAGGGGAATGTTTCTGGCATCTAGTGGGTAGAGGCCAGGGATGCTGCTAAATATCCTGCAATGCACAGGACAGACTCCACAACAAAGAGTTATCTGGTCCAAAGGTCAGCAGTGCTGGGATTGAGAACCCCTGAAGTAAAACATGGGCTTTGGAGCCAGGCGGACCTTGGTTTGACTACTGCCTCTGCTATTTACCAGCTATGTACGCTTTTCCAAGTGGCTTTACCTGTCTTTGGTGATTATCAATTTTCTCATCACCAAAAGTGGCACTAATAGTTGCCCTCATCTTAAAAGGATTTGAGGACTAAACAGATTGAACATAGTTAATATCCAGCACAGGGCCTGGCACTGGGGAAACTCTGCCAGTGATAACCATTATTCTTATTTTCCATTTTCCAAGGTGAACCTAGTGTATAGGAACAAAGGTCTGGTAACTGGACCTGGAGTCAGTCCTCCCTCCAGTGGTGAGCCTATTATTGATATTGTGGGAGAGGCTGAGTTGGCCCCTGTGGACCTGGAGGGAGGAGCCAGAAAGGAAACATGATCCTAGGTGGGCAAAGGTCACTCGAAGCACCCTTCCCAGAGAAGCCATGGGGTGGAGGGGGACAGGACACAAAACACACTCATGAACACATACAGAATAAGGTTCCTTAGCTCAGCGAAGTTCCATGGATTCACATCTGGGCTCAGGGAGCAGTGGCATTTAAGTGAACACAACCCAGACAGGTAGAGATATGGGGATGGTTGGGAAATGGCATCCTAGCCCTGGGGACAGCATGTTTAAAGGTCTGGTTGTGAGGAGTAAAGTATAAGGCCTATTTCCCAAATGGTAGTCCAGGGTGGCTAGAGGAGTCCAATTTGGTAAAAAGAGCTTACCCCAGTGGGGTGGGGTACAGGCATCAGGGCTGGGAACCTGAACATTTACCATTTTCTTTCTTTTCTTTTCTTTTCTTTTCTTTTCTTTTCTTTTCTTTTCTTTTCTTTTCTTTTCTTTTTTGTTAATCCTCACCCAAGGCTATTTTTCCATTAATTTCTAGATAGATGGAGTGGAAGGGAGGGAGGGAGTGGTGGGGGAGAGAAAGAGAGGGAGAGAGAGAGAGAAACATCGATTCGAGAGAGACACATCCATTGGCTTCATCCCATATGACCCTGACTGGGGTTGGGGATCAAACCTGAAACCCAGGTTCCTGCCCCTGACCAGAAATCGAATCCTTGACTCCTCTGTCTGCAGGCCAGGGTTCCAACCACTGAGCCAAACTGGTCAGGGCTGAATATTAACCATTTTCAAACTAGGTCCTCCTTCCCAGGGCACCAGGACCCCCTCTCTCTGAGGTGGGAAGAGTCATTGCAGTTTTTCTCTTTGTAATCCATAGTCTTCCCTGTCCCCACTCCCACCTCCAAACACACACTTATTACAGAATTTCAGGATCTACATCTCTGCCAGTGTTCTCCATCCCACCTCTGGGGGGGTCACACTGGACCCCCCCATCTTCACAGCCCTGTAACCTACCCTTTTTACCAACCCAGGGTCTAGACAAAGGGATAGCCCTTCTGCCCCCATCCAGCCCATCTGCTTCATCCTTCCTCCCAGAAGCCCATTCCCCTTCTTCCCAGAAGCCCATTCCATTGTAACAGCTGCCACCACCTGCTCCTTTTTATGTGTGTGTTCCTTTTAATCCTCACCTGAGGCTATTTTTCCATTTATCTTCAGATAGGGTGGGAGAGGGAGCGGGAGGGAGGGAGAGAGGGGGGAGAGAGAGAGAGAGAGAGAGAGAGAGAGAGAGAGATCGAGATCGGTTGCCTGTGCAAGCCCATGCCAGTAAAGTTCTGGGCTCTTGACCAGAATTGAACCTGCGACTCTGGTCTGAGGGCTGTTGCTCTAACCACGGAGCAACTGGCCAGGGAACCACCCATTCCTTGAGAAGACCTAAGTCTTAGCCATGTCCTGTCTCAACAATGGCCCCCTTCATCAATTCAAGCTTCCTCTGAATTGCTCCCCATTTTTCATCCTTTAGACTTCAACTGGAAAGAGCTGTCTGGACTCTCCTCAACCCCTTTAGGTGGTCTCCTAGGAGGCCTGGGACCTGGAACCCTCTTCTTTGCCTCTAGAAAGTGACATTTCTTTGGAGTACAGAGCCAACGTCTTGGCTTTCTGAGCTTTGGGGGCAGGGGAGTGGACTTCTCCTGGGCCCCATTCCGTCCCCAGACATCAGCCCAGGGAATAGTCAGCGAATAAACGAATGAATGAGTTATGACTGACAGCCAAGTTTCAAGTCTGGGAAGGAAGCTTAGGCGTCTGCTAGGAGCGATGGAGAGCTCTGGAAAGTCTGGCCAGGAGAGCGGAAGAGCAAGGGATCGGGGTAGGGGCTGCTCTCAGAATCGCCTGACCAGCAGCGGCGGACCAGCTAGAACCTCCCGCCCTGGAGTCTTCCCAGCTCGTCTAGGGGCAGGGCTGAGACTAGCCGGCTTGGCGGCGGGCACCGAGCCCGGCCGCGTCCACACTCCAGCCAACAGGAAGAGAAAGAGAAAAGCCAGGCCACGCGGGCCAGCTGGCCAGTGGGGAGTCCCAGGCGTGGGCGCCGGGATCTGGGGAACCCCAGCCGGCGCCTCCCGACCTGGGTGCGTGGGGCTGGAGAATGGGGGCAGCGTCCCCGGTCCTTGGACCTCAGGGTCCCCTGTAAAGTGGGGCTCCTGCTAAGGGCTGGTGCACTCACTGATGGGGGCGGGGTGGCGGGGCGAGGTGTGCCAGGGGGACTGAGAGGCCCAGACTGAGTTACCCGCGCACAGAGGCGGAGGGACTGGACCCACTGCTCCAGGCGGGAGGAGGCGGGGCTTTTGAGGGGCAGGCCTGGGCGGGGGCGGGGCCAGGGCCGGCACCTGGGTGAGGTTGCGCCGCCCCGCCCCTTTGCACTTCCGTGTGCAGCGGCACGGGAGCGGGAGGTGGCTGCCCTGGGATCCCCCAAGCGACCACCCGCACCCGCCCGCCGCGCGGAGGCCCGGACGACACTTCGCCGGTCGCCGGGCCCGTCTCGGTCGCGGTCCCCCAGACTCCAGTCCGCGAGCACGCCCAGGATCCGCGCAGGGAGCTGGACCCCAGCCGCCGCGACCCCAGGCGCCTGGAGGTGAGTGCGGGCCGAGCCCGGGTGTGGGATCCGTGCTACCCGAGGGCGCGTCGCCCCTCCCTTCCCTCTCCCCTCTCCGGTTCCCGTTTCCGAAACTGAGAAACTGAGCCGCGGCCAGATAAAGTGCCGCCGCGCTCGGTGACCCGCCACTGCCTCGGTACCTCGGTCTGTCTGTCTGTTGCTGCGTTCCACTGTGGGGGTCGGGGTCCTCTCGTCCGTCTGCTCCCGGCCCCTCCACCCGCCCGTGCCCCAGCTCCTCGGAGCGTCCTCTCGTCCCTCTCGAATCTCCGGGCACTCTCTCCGACCAATTGCCCCCACCCACTTTGTGTTCCCCTGTCCTATCTTTAGTCCCTATCTGTCGGTCCTTTGCCCTCCGCTGTCCCATGGTTCCACCCCAACCCACCTTCCACGGCCCCTAGATCCTGTTCTCGAGCCGCGCCCCCGGCCCACGCTCCTACCCCCAGCCTGTCCCGCCGCCTCTCTTTTTCGACAGCGGGGCCCAGGCCAGGCCGCCTGCGGGGCCGGGCCTCGCCTCCCGCCCCTGGGTCCCTGCCTGGCCCGCGCTGCGCCTCCTCCTCGCTCTATCTCCTTTCAGTCTCGGTGTCTCTCGGTCTCACTCCCCATCTGTCTCCACGCTGGGCGTGGCTCCAGTCTCCACCACCCCCTTCCCGCCTTGCCCTTATGCTCCTTTAAGCCCCTTACCCTGGTGGCCCTGTTCAGGACCTGTCCGCCCCAGGCCTCTTCCCAATCCAGACGCCACGCCCGCGGGGGCCCAGCCAGATGAGGGGAGGCGGTGGGGAGAACCAGAGTGAAGAGGCAGAAGGCGGGCACTGTCAGAACTGCTCCACTTCCTCAAATCCTCCGTTGAGCCCCCACTTAAACCTGGTCAGAAAGATTTGCTGCGAGTGGAGGCTTGTCTCTTTCTCTGGCCCCTACCTTGTCTGCATGGATCCTGTCTCCTTGAGCTGATTCCTCTGTATCTGGGCTTGTAGGTATGTTGTGTGTCTGTGTGTGCTTGGGTGTTCTTTGTCACTGTCTGGAACTTGCCCCTGTGTGTCCTTTTTCACATGTGTGATTTGCCTGTGTGTATGTGTGTATATCTTGGTTTCTGAAGCTTTTTGTGTTTGCTATGTCCTGGGGTGTTCTTTATTACCAGACTCTCCTCTAGGCGTTGGGATGTGTGTGTGTGTGTGTGTGTGTGCATCTTTGTGTGCCCTTTGCATCCCTTTGTGTCTGGTGGATTGTGTGTTGCACACTGGGTGTGTTATGGTGACCTACTAGCCATGAATATATTCAAGCTATTAATTGTGGGAGCCCATGGCGTTAGGGTGCCAGCCCACCAGGCTCATGTGTGAGTGTGTCTGTACAAGTATTTGTATGTGTGTGCACTCACATGTTGTTTTTTCTCTCCCTTTGCCACTGAGTCACTGTGATCAGGCTGACCTGGTCACCAAGGGAGGGGACTGGTCCCTTGGGTTTCCTCGTTCCTGCTGTGGACTGAGCTGGGTTGTGGTGGACAGGCCAGCAGAGGGCAGCTGTAGCGTGTGTGTGTGTGTGTGTGTGTGTGTGTGTGTTGTGGAGGTATTTGGACAGCTGTATCTGGCTGTAGGGTGGTGTAAGGGATCTGGTGTATGACAGGACTGGGGATGGGGGCTGGACTGGCAATGTGGGCCTATGACTGGTGGGAGACTCACAGTCTGACTGTATGAAACTGTATATATGTGTGCTAGGGGAGTAACTGATTGTGGGGAACCGAGAGTGCTTGGGCGTGGGTGTCGGGAGTAGGAGGGGATGAAACAAGGTATGTGGTGCCTGTGCCCTGGGGTGGCAGTGCTGGGAGAGAAGGTGAGAACCCCGGTGTGTGTGTGTGTGTGTGTGTGTGAGTGTGTGTGTTAGCATGTGGGAGGCTGTAAGCATTTGGGTGTGCATGTAGCATACTCAAGCCCAGCCCTGGCTCCTGGGGAGAGAAGGGAGACTTCCATCTTTCACCCTCCTCTACTCCCCCAAGTTGACAGACACCAGAAGGCAAGGCTTGGGGTTTGTAGTGTTGTGACTGAGACCTCAGACTCTGGATCTAGGAAAAACTTGGGCACAAAAATCAGTGTGCCTGTTAAGAGCAAGGGACCAGATGGAAGTAGGCCTCTTTGAAGCTGTTTCTTTATCTGCAGAAGGTAGAAAGTTGTTGTGAGGACTAGAGGTCCTGTGTCAAAGGTCCTTTAGCACAGCTTTGGCTCACAGTGAGAGCTTAGCACATACTAAGCCTTATTTGGTGACCACCTGCTTTCCCCCTACTGTATGATCCCTATTCTCTTGGGAGCTGGAGCTAATTAAAGCCTAGATAGTCCCCCAACCCAATTTCTTGCTAGTGAAGTGTCTGTTGCCCCCCTCCCAACCCCTTGAACAGACTGCTTGTGGGAGGGAAGAAGCTAACTGAGACCCAACCAGCATCTATCCCTGTTCATCCCACATAATAACTCCCCCACCCTCTAGTTTCCACAGTAGTGGTGGGGGAGAGAGTGGTGTGTGTGTAGGGGGGTGACTTGGAGCTGTGACTGCAGGGCACTGACACCATTTAGCTGGCACAGCTAATTGGAGTTTAAATTAAAATTAGAAATAATTGAAAGTACAAACAAAAAGATAAAGCCTGAGGGTGCCTCAGCCCCCGGGGAATGGTGATGGGGGTCTTCAGCTGGAAGAGGGGGCTCAGATCTGGGGAGGGGAATCTATTGTGGAATCCGAGCCTGCAGAAAAACTACTTAGGGCACCAGGGCACCTTGATTCCCTTGCTATTCTTTCCTTCAAGGATCTCTCTGAGCCTCAGTTTTTTTTAGCTGTATATTGGGCACAGCAGTGATAGGAGAATCACCTCAACTAGAATATGCAAAACAAGGAACAAAAGCATGTCACTATTCACTCCTAATTTGAGTCCAGCACAGGAGCTGGCATGATTCATCATTGGAGCCTCAGAATCACCCAGGGAGATATATTCTCCCCATTTTAAGGATGAGACAAACTGAGGCCCAGAGGAGTACCCCCAGGCCACAAAGCGGTGATACCCGTTTGCACCCTAGTTCTTCTGGGACTATAGGAAAACCTCTTGCAGACAGGACAATTAGGAACAGAGTTCTTGCTGTTTCTGTATGTAGCCTGGAAAAGCTCTGAGTGCTAAGATAGTGTTCCAGCCCCTAGCATGGAGTGAATACATAACCACTGCCCTGTAAAAGTTGGGCCCAATACCCTATTTCATAGAAGAGAAAGTCAGAGTCAAAGAGACCTGAAGTCTTAGAGTCAGACAAGGCTGAGCCAGGCCTGTGTTGGTAGTGTTGGGGAGAGCCTGTTTGGTGACACCTCCCGGCTCAGCTCTTTTCTCTTGTTTCAGCAGGTCTGCTGGGAACTGGCCTAGGTTAGGGCAACAGGCCTGCTTCTCCTGGCGGTTGTTGTGTAGTAGTGGTGGTGGCAGCAAGAGCCAGAACTGAGGACAAGGGAGAACTGGGAGCCCCAGGTAAGACTAGATCCTCTTAGACAGAAGGACAGTGGACAGGGTGGACTTCCTCTTTGAGCTCCTCCCCTTCTGCCTTGGACCTTGGTTGGGGGTCTGGGTAGGGGCAGCACTCAGAGTCCTTGGTCTGGGTGTAGGGCCTGGTGCACAGAGTGGGCAGCAGTTTGCCCTGTGAATGAATCCTGCCTTCCTGGAACGGGCTTCTGGCCCAGCAGAGGTTTTGACCTTGGAGCTCAGAGGCCTGGGGCTCAACAGTGGTTTGGGGTGAAAAGTAGTGACACTTTGCTGGTCAGTTAGAGAGAGTGATGTATGAACCCAGGGTTGAAGGTGGTTGTATCAGCTTTTCCCAGGCTGTCCTCATCATCACACAGGGAAACTGAGGTTTGCCCTGGGTCCTACAGTGAGTGGGTTGGACACTGAACTGGGACTGGAACAAAGTCTTCAGCTCCTGGTACAACTGAACTCTCTTCTACATTTATTCTTACATTTCCCCAGCCTCTCTGGGGCCCGAGGAGGGATTCTAAATCTCCCTCCCCAGCCTTCAGATTCAGGATGAGCTGGGCAGAATTGCTAAGGAACACTGAGGAAGGCTGTAGTCTCTGAGGCTAGAAATTCTTTGGAGCCAGCTTTGCCTCCTTCAGTGACCATTGTAATGAAAACAGACCTGTGAAGTTACCTACTGCATGTTTAGAGCCCAGTGAAGAGGATTCTGGGGGACATAGGAGATGCTGAGGGCACAGATCCTAGGGAGTGACAGTGGGAAGAGTGGCAAAGGTGGTCTTTTCTCCAGGAGTCATTCCTGATCATTTCCCCTCTCCCACACCTCTGGCTGTTAAGCACCTACAAGTCTTGGGGCGGGGGGGGGGGGGGAGGTTAATAGACAAGTGGGCCTAACTATCGGGGAGGGGTTCAGGTGTGGGGCTTTAGGCAGAACAAAAACAGGGTCTCCTTGGGGTCTTCTGTTTATTCAACCTACCTGCCGATCCGGCAGAGAAGAGGTGATGTGCTCTTGGCTTCTGGGGCCTATGCTATCTGAGGTCAGGGGCCTTTCCCGTCCCAGCACTGGGCCTCAGTCCCCTACGAAGTTCAATTAATTAGCCTTGGAGCCAGCCCACTCTCCTTTAAAAAAAAAAAAGTGTTTTTATTGATTTTATGTTTTTAGAGAGAGAGGAAGGGAGAGAGAGATAGAAACATCCATGTGAGAGAGAAACATCTATCAGCCAGCTGCCTCCTGCATGCCCCCTACTGGGGATCAAACCTGCAACATGGGTATGTGCCCTGACCGGGAATCAAACCGGGACCTCTCAGTACATGGGATGACACTCAATACACTGAGCCACACTGGCCGGGTCCACTTTTCTTTTTAAAAAAATATTTTTATTGTCCGGTCGGTGTGGCTGAGTGGTTGAGCGTCGATCCATGCACTAAGAGGTTGCTGGTTCGAATGCCGGTCAGGACACATGTCCAGGTTGTGGGCCAAATCCCCAGTGGGGGACATGCAGGAGGCAGCCAATCAATGTTCTCTCTCATCGATGTTTCTTTTTTTTTTTTTTTATCCTCACCCCAGGACATTTTTCCTTTTTTTGTTCAGGTAGAGTGGGAGGGAGAGAGAGGAACAGAGAGAGAGAGAGAAACATCGATGTGAAGGGACACATCGAGTGGTTGCCACCTGCACAACCGACCAGGGCCGGGGACAAACTGCAACCGAGGTACATGCCCTTAGCGGGAACCGAACCCGGGTTTCTCTGTACCGCAGGCTGACGCTCTAACTGCTGAGCCAAACCGGCCAGGGCTCTCATCGATGTTTCTATCTCTCTCTTCCTTTCACTTTCTATCTCTCTAAAATCAGTAAAAGAAAAAAAAATTTTTTTTTAATTTCTTAAAAAAGAAAATTTTTATTGCCCTGGCTGGTTTGTTCAGTGGTTAGAGCGTCAATCTGTGGACCAAAGGGTTCCAGTTTCGATTCCTGATCAAGGGTACCTACCTGGGTTGCAGGTTCAATCCCCAGCCCTGGTCCCGGTCGTACGGGAGGCAGCCAATTGAGGTGTCTCTCTCATATCAATGTTTCTCTCTCTCTCTCTCCCTCCCTCCTTCCCTCTTCCACTCTATCTAAAATTCAATGGAAAAATATTGAGTGAGGATTAACAAGAAAAGACTATTTTTATTGATTTTTAGAGATAGAGGAAGAAAGAGAGAGAGAGAGAGAAGTATCGATTCAAGAGCGAAACACTGCCTCCTACACACCCCCTGCTGGGGATCGAGCCCCAAACCCAGGCAGGTGCCCTGACTGGAATCACACCAGCAACCCTTTGGTACACAGGATGATGCCCAACCAACTGAGCCACACCAGCCAGGGCAGAGCCAGCCCACTTTCAACTCTAAAACATCACCTACCTAGTTGGCATAGACATATACTCACGCAGGGATACAGAAACTGAGGCTGCACTTGGCACCCATGCCCTCAGACCCATGAGTGTGCACACACACATGCAC